TACTTACACTGACAGCAATTTCTAAAGCTGTTTGTTGCGGTAATTATAGCTTCCCTTTCAGCAACAAATAGGTCAAAATGCTGTTTTTGTGGTATTTTTAATGATTGTGTTTATGTGGATTAATTTAATATTTATTTGATTATTTAGGCAGCTTCACCTTTTTTGTTACTTTGTTACTTTGATAAGGACTTTCAGCTATGATTTTTCCTTATTCAAAGCTAGCTATGGTGAGAGTTTTATAGTATGAATTCTAAAGGTCTGGTTTCTTAGGACAAGCGCCTTATCTGGGCGTCAGCGGGACGTCAACGTCACGCTGACGCCAACAAAATACTGGTTTGTTAGCTCAAGGCCTGGTTTCTTAGAACTAACGCCTTATCTGGGCGTTAGCGGAAAGTTGACGTAGATCTGACGCCAGAAAAATACTTTTTTGTTAGCTCAGCGTGAGCAGTCGGTCCAACGCAGACATTATCTCTCATTGCGCATGCGTTAATAACGTAAACAAATATTTATTTTGAATTTGTATTGATTTTGTTATTGTCGACCAGTGTTTTAGAGAACAAATAATGACTTTGTTCAAGAAAAAACACATTATAGCTGAGCTAAATGAAGAGTGCTATGTTTAATGAAGAAGCTATGTTTAATGTCAAAATCAAAATCTTGGCTGATTTCAATGTGCTGTTGGATGTTGTCCGCCATTGCTTCTGTGGTTAACGTCACGCTGTAATCCAACTGCAGTTGAGTTGGACGGCAATTGAAGTTCAAGATAAGCGTTCGATGACGTATACTATCCAACTCACAAATGGACCAATCAGAGGTTAGCGCTGATTTCCAGCTGACGGCGTCCTGTTCTAAGAAACCAAGCCTTAACAGTGTAAATTATGTCCAGTATTTTTTAGTTTTCAAATTATTTATACTATTTCTGTTAATAAATTCATTTTCTTACAACCTATCTTCGGTAACCAATTCATTCACCATTCAAATGTATTTATTAATAAGTGATTTGCAAATGTTAGCAATATTGCTTTGGGATATGAGCAATCTTTCGTATGAACCTATTGAGATAAAAATGCTTCGTTCTTAAATGTTTAAAATAGTCTTTCAGATACGTCTACTTGTTGGGTACTAAGGGCTTTGCATTTGCATGCTAATGCTATCCGTGTTTCTTATTCACTTATATGTCTTTCACTCACACATAGCAGAAAGTTTAAAAATGTTCAGATAAAATGCACCTATAATTAAAAGAAAACATGTTTTTGCGTCTGATTTCAGACTAGAGGTCGGAACTAATTATTAACACATATTATATGAGCGCCTTGTACTACACTGTTAAAAATGGATACTTAAATATAACGAAACGTTCTTCGTTTTCGAGGAAACAGTTTCCTGGTATATGCTCCTAGTGAAAACTTTGTCAAAATGATAAAGATAACTATCGTCACTTCTTCAAGGAATTGAATTTCAATAAAAGTAAAAAACAATATTTCGTCATAATAAAACATAAAAATAGAAACTCGTAGAGAGTAATATATCGAACTTTTCTAATAATCACTTATCGTGGACACCATATAAGCTGCACAACATATAACAAGGACAAATAGAACCGAGAGATATTCTAAAGAGATGCCCGAATTGAGTTTCAAACTCCGGATCTTCCTGGTGCGAGGTCAACTCCTTGACAATCATGCTGTGCGGTCGGCATAATTCGTTAATTTATTTCCAATTGTCTAGTCTTAGTTCTAGTTACTTCATTCAATTTCCATTCTACATTATCTCCTACAATGCGCTACGATGTGGTTTGGAATTGATGAAATAGTTTCGTCATACATTTGAGAAATCGCGTTTTATCACAAGTCACGTGATTTCGTGACGAAATGCTTCTCAAAATTAACAAAATGCTGTTCTAGGATAGTTGGATCGTCAAAAGCGAGACTTTCATTTCTGAGAGTGCAAGTATTGTGCAATATAGTACTCATGAAAACTCGAAAATTAATTTCTTTGGTGCTAAATTTTTAAAAATATTCTTCTATTTAAATAACTAATGAGCGTAAGTTACCTGAATGGCAGCCGCTATTATATATAAAAATTGATAGTATTTTGCGAAGTTAATCAATACGCATCCAAAAGTTAGAGTGTCTGCAAATATACCAAGGGTGCAGAAATTTAGTGAAGTAATAAACAAACTTAAAGCCTAATTTACTCAAATCATTAAAATTTCACTCGGAAATTTCTTTTATTGGGCTCTTCTATCCTAAAAATATTCTTTGTTATTTTCGGAATTTTAGGTAATTTCAGACATGGATTTTTATTTGACAACAAATGCACTGCATCCCAAGAATAAGTAGAATATTCCTACAATTATTTAATTCCAAATCACATATATATATAAATCATGTTAACTTAGTTTTAACTGCAGGTACCTTTAGATTTATGATGGTTGACATTATCGTTAGCCCAGCCCCACATTAGTGACCCGGCTGTGATCTGAACACGCCTACCTTAACAGAAACACTCACTTCGATATGAACACACCTACTTTAATGGATAGGACACCGTGAACTGTTGACTTGCTGTATGTGATTGAGGCATTGTCCTCCTAGCGCTCTTGCTACTCAGTTTCGATCACACACAATGGGGGCCTCTACACACTCGACTGCTAATAGCAACACAGAGGAGATCACACACACAACCGTAATCTTAATACAGCTCTCCCAACTGCGCTCAAAGTCCAGTGATCTTTATACAGCTCTAATCGCCATCACTCAAAGTCCGGTAATCATAATATAGCTCTCTCAGAGTTTCATAAAACAGCAATGAATAAACTAGTGATATCCATTCATAAAATTCTATCCCAAATAAAGGTCTGGTGTCGGAGTATTGTAGCATAGCTACCATTACAGTTATTCAATTCCAATTCACTAGTATATAAGACATGTTAACTCAATTCCATCTGGAGGTACCTTTAGATAGATGACGGTTGACATCATCAGTCTAGCCCCACAATTATTTTGATGTTCTCAAGCAAGGATAACAAAATGCTTTCCGGCATAATTTAAATCATTTTCTAGCTAGTTTCATGAAAACTACAACTAAAAATTTATTTGCATTAATTTACTATTTATTAACTTAATAAAGAGATTCAAGTATTAATTATTTAAAAATTGTGAGTAAATTTTCAGGGTTTCCCTGATTTTAATTTGATATTTGAGTGTTAAGTGTAAAATTTAGAGTTTTAATTGATTGAAAAATGAGTGTTACATTAAAACTCATCACTGTAAATACTATCTAAAATGAACATAATATTATTTAAGCAAGCATATGCTCACGGAAATAATTTATCAAAACTGAAAATGAATGTGACTATTCTCTCTATTTCAGCAGCATTCATAAATGAGACTGGGTAGCATAAGTGGTTGAGCAAATTTAAAACTTATAAAAATGGTAGGGGAGAGTCGGGTATCCCCGCCCACAGTCAATTTTATATGTATAGAATATTTTTTCAAGTCAATGGGCCATCGGATATTAATTGTTGTATTAAAAAAAGTTTCTTTTCAAAGTTTCATGTATTTATGCAGTTGTTAACATGGTAAGCAATAGTTTTGAAAATATGTTGAATACAGTAGTCATGAAATTAAGAAAAATTGGTTGAATGTTTCGATTAAACTTCATTTTAATACTAAAAAAATAATTTTTTCTATACATACAGCATTAAAGTATGTAGTCTTAAGTTTAATTTGCACAAAGAAAGAAGTTTGTATGTAAAAAATTGTTCGAGTAATTACAAATTTACAAAAAAATTGGATTTCGGGTAGCCCCGCTCACATGAATGTCGGGTATCACCGCCCAATTTTATTTCGTCGATAAATGTACGGTTGCAAAGATTATTATTTTATTGCTTCAAATTTGAATGTTATATGCATTTTTAACAACAAATATATGTTTTAATATTATATGAAACATAAATTTATATATTTAAAAATGAAAAATTAAATATTTTTAAAATGTAATTGATATATCCAAATTAAATTTAATATCAAGAAATCATAAATATTATGATAAGCTATTTGCTTACTTATTTATTTTCACTTATTTGTGAACGAATCAATCTACAGAAGCATTTGAATGCAATCAAAATACAAAGTGAATTTGTAATTTTATAAGAAGTATTTTATATTAAGTTTATAAGAAGAGATCAACCAAATAAGTTTATATTGAAAAACAACTATTGTTATTAATTATTGTTACTTAAATTAAATTATTTTCGTTAAATATTTAATATAAATATATATTAATATTATAATACATTAATATACATTAATAATGATAAAAAGTATGACATTTGTTGTTATTAAATGATAGAATTCACTAAAAGTATATAAATATGTAATAAATAAAATAATTTTGTGATAAAAATGATAAATAAGGTTTACCTATTGTCAATACATTGGTCACTTTCATTTACATCTGAAAAAACAGTCAAAGAACTTAATTTTTGTAACTGGGTGGGGAACCCGACGCATTTTGAAAAGAGCTGAAAAACATGTTTTTTTAAATTTCTATTTTTTTAAGTTCAACTAGTCTTTTTTTGGTTTATTCTTTTTGCATTATTTAATTAGATGGTAAAATAATAGAAACATACAATAATATTGATTATTACTCAATATTATACAGAAATATAAGCAATACTCTTTAAGTGGGCAGGGCTACCCGACTCTCCCCTTCTACTTAATTTATTTAAGAATTTTATTTTTTACGTTCATTTACTTTGTCAATTGAGTACAATATATTTGAAATTGAAAAATATATTGTACTCAATTTTGAGGATGATAAGAGAAAAATTAGTTGTTGATCAAAAACATTAATGAAATAAGCTTATATGATACGAAAGGAATAAAAAAAATGCTGTTAAATTGTCTTAAAGATAAGGACCATGTTTCGTATTAACATCTTTTAGAATCAAATCTAATTATTGTTTACTTCCCCACAGGTGTAACAATATCATTTTCAGCTACTATATAAGGAACACAAGATTTAAAAAACTGTACTTTCAAAACTTCACTCAGTATTGAAATAAAAGGAAATGAAATTTATATTCTACGCTTTCATTGCATTGTCTGCCATTGTTGCTGGTAAGTTTCTTTTTAAATATTTTTTTTTGTTTACCAAATAGATCTAACCAATATTATGTAATATGAACGTGAAATTAATACCTGATAATAGTTTTTCAAATGAAAAGCTATTTGTTAAAATTGAAAAAAAAAGAAGGTAGTTCTATGAAGGGTTCTTTATCATAGATTTAGTTTTTACTGGCTTCTAAGCTATAAAACTTATATAGAAAAAAGACTCTGATTTCTCTGAATCCACTGGAAATTTTAAAGTTATGGACTAAAATAAAAAAAAAACCCTCAGAAAATTAAAATCATGTTCAAACACGCAAAAGTGTTGATAAAGTAGCAAGAAAATGTATTTTTAATTGTTTTTTGAAGTATTTATTTCAATATTGTACTCTAATATCTCCCTGTTATTTCTCTTATGCCAATTCTGGTCATTTATGTAGTTTGGTGCTTTTGAAATTCGCATCAGTATAGACTAGTATATTGATACCATTGTGACTTTTAAAGATTTTTTTTTGAAGATTTTTGACTTTTAAAGACTATTTGATTAATTATTTCTGACTATTAAAAACTTTTCTTTAGAGCGAAAACAAAAGAAAATTCCAAATTCCTTTAGTAACTATTATCATCTAGCAGTGAATTGGAAAATTAATTGGTTAAGCAGCAGTTTCGGCATCGCAGTAGTTTTTCTGAAGATCATGAAAGAAAATTTATAGAATTGAACAAAATATAATTGAAATGGAACATGAAAGAGTAAAATATAATCAGTCACCTCAAAATCAAAAATAAACAAGACATTCATGTTAAAAATCTTTTCAAATTAATGGAGTCAGAACGTATATTCAAAAAACTTTTAAATCTTATGAAGAAAAACCAGAGTGTTCCGAAAAACAATGAATTCGACACTTGTCTATAGGATGCTGATATATAGTTCTCTCTTATGACGACAAGGGCATTCTTCATTTTTTATGACGAATGCCTATCTAAAAACTATTTGACATCAATGATTATTTTTTTCTCCGAATCCCTTAAATTAAATAAATACAACTGTAAAAAAATACGGTAAATATTATTTTATTATTTCTATAGTAATTACTACTTGAAAAAACCTCATTTGAGTTTATTAGGACATTATATTTATATTTATGATACGTTTAATATCTTATGGATATCAGTGTAAAAGCATAGATTTTACTGTATTGTTAGAGCTAGGAATGATAATTTTATTTCAATAAAAAACAAAATATAATAATTCAAAATAAAGAAATGCTGGATAAATTTGATTTAATAATTGTTATTATTATTTTTCTCAGCAATGGCTCAAGGTGATGGTAAGTATAAGGAATATTTTAAATTGCTTTGGTTCTTCGAAGGTCGAAGATATATATATATANTGAACTTATATACATGACGTAAGAGAATGTTCTAGAAACTTCCAAAACATTCCATAAGTAATAACTTAAGCCTTAAACAGCTTATATACAGATTTACATACTTCTAAAGTCTTGTTAGAAATCGGGAGAACTTGGAGGATCCAACTCAGGATTTCCGACTTATTAAAAATTTAAAAAAAAAACTAAGAAGCCAAAAAAAGTATTAAAAAAAATAGCTGACACGAATATATTCACAAAAAATAGTGCTTTCTGGTATTGTATTACTATAGCCAAAAGAAAATATGTCAATACACTAAGGTGCAGAGCAGCAAACAGAGAAAAAAGAAAATTGATTCACAAACAAAATTTTATCAAATAAAAAAATTACAGAAATTTAAGAAATATATGAAGTAAAATATAAAATAGGGACACTTAAAGCGTTTCATGTACTTACAAATGTCACGTACTTACGAATATCTAACAAAAATAGTTTAAAAATATTGTCGTAATCAAGTTGCCAGATTAAAAAATACAAAATTGAAGCACAAAATGGGAGGTAGTAAGATAAATTTTAAGATGTGTTCATACTGAAGTTAAGAACAGCATTTGATTTATCGATTGCTTTTAATTGGACAGAAAACTGAATTTGCGAAAGGTAATATATTATTTTTGAATACTTCAGAGTTTATAGTTAATAAACAATCCGCTTTTAAATACAACACTTTAAGTCAATGATTTTTATAGAAATTATGAACATTCATACTATAATATAAGTCATTAAATGAATATAGAGGAGATTGTTGGTGAGTCACAAACTCTTTTAGTTGAGGATTTTAGTGAATTGGATCTGCATATGAGAAACACATCATAAAATAAAAGTATAAAACTGCAAAATTTATAAAGGAATATATAAATATAAAAATCTTTTAATTGTCTTGCTTATTATTTTTGCTATATGCAAATCCAATTCAGGAAAATCTGTAGCTAAGTATTGTTTAACTAACCAACAACCAATATTCAGTTAAAGTTTTCCAATATTCCGTTAAATAATTTGTACTGTTCAATAAATGTCAATAATTTCCATAAAATTATTGAATTGAAATGTTTCATTAGAAAAAAACACCTTTTGTTAATTATAAACATAGAAATATCCAGCATAATATATTATTACTAATCTATAGGTAAACTATAGGTAAATTCAGTTTTTGGTGCAATTCAAGGTAACAGACAAACCAAATGCGGTTCTTAGTTTCAGTCTGAAGATGCTTTAAAATGCATCACTCTCTTTTACGTTTCAATATTTTTGATAATATGGTAATCTAGAAAATAAATTACGGAAATACATTTAAATCATTTTTGAAAGATATTCATAAGTACATGGTATCCGTTTTCCTTTCACGTTTATATGTTTCTATTTTGTGAAATCTCTGTCTCTTTCTTGGTATACATATAAAGTAAAAAAAAAACTAGTAAATATTGAAATTCCAAATTATTTTTAAAATATGCTAATATGCTTTAAAATATTCGATTAAAAATAAAAATTTTATTATTTTTGTAACACAGTAAAATATGGATATTTTCTCATAATATTCTTATTTTTAAATGAATCAGGTTTTTGCTGTCAATTTTTTAAAGTTCAATTTTAATTATGTCTTACTTTCCATCATAAATTTGTAAAGCATGTTATACTTAAATAATTTTCCTGTATGTTACTTTCTGGTTTCCCGTGACCGGTTGATATGGATTGGGATTATTAGAATGGTTTTTACTTGGAAATAATTTGATTGAACATTAAATTAATTAAACAGGTTGAGCTCAAAGAAATCTGAGAAAAATTTCCAATTTACTGATCTGAAACAAAACTAGTTTCAAAACTTACTAATGTAATTTAATGTACCAGGAATAATTAAGTGTGTAGAATTCGATATTTGGAAATATCTTGACTGGATTAATAAAATATCGCATAAGAACACGAGGTCGCAAACTCTATAGTTTAGGAAAACAAGGGGACTAATCGCATTACTAGCTTAAGCACTTAATCTATCTCCAATAATTTTTTTTCTCCAAATATGAGTTATGCTTGCTTCCATGCTACTAGACTTAGCAGGAAAAATTGTTGCTGCTGAGGTGGCTTTCGAGATACTCCAGGTATTTTTGTAACTGTATAGAAAGCCAATTTTGAAATTGTTTTGAGAATAAATACCTGACTTTGTAAGCAGACGCAGCAAAGCATTCATTTTTTTTTTTTAATTTTCACTCATTATTGTTTGAGTAAACCATTAAAAATAACGTCAAAATAAGTAAAAAAAACATTCGCAATTTATTTCAGATTAGAAGTTGGGCATTTAACTAAAAATAAGAAAAAAGAACTATTTACAAGAGAATAATAAGAAAAAAAATTCAGAAAAATGCTTGGGGCAGTAATAGAAAACCGAAACCTGGAGAATTCGTTAGAACCTTGAATTACAATAAGTATACAAAGAACCTAACAAAGTAAAAATGATCAAGATTTCTCAATATAGCAATGAAAATCCTGTTAAAAAAAATAACCTTCCAAACACCAGAGGGGGAAAAAAAGAGGAAGATCTAGAACATGATGGTTGTATAGAATAGAAAAGGGGTTACAAGGCTTGGGAGTTAATGAATGAAGAAATATAGCATCGAATAGATCTAGATGACTTTAACTATCTGAGACGGCCTAGGACGGTAACTGGCTGCAGTGCAAAATAAGAAGTTTATTTTTCTTATAATATTTTATATCTTGTAAATGAAAACTTACAATATTCAGCCTTTTATTTATCGTACAAATCTTTTATATCTATACAGTTTTGAAACATAACAGAAACAGAAAAATGAAAATGAATATTTTGTTTATATTTTTACTATAATGTCAATTATAACATTTTTCTTATCTATATTGTCTTTTTTTAGGACTTAGTGAAAGTACTGAGGACTTTATGAATATGTTACTACAACAAGCAGGTTAAGCCGTTATGATAACAAGCACAAATGATTTCAAGCAAGCAAATCAAGCAAGCTTCTGAATTGTGTAATTAAGCACTAATTTTTCGAATATTAATTATTTTCATTTTATTTTTTTTTCTCAAATTTTATTACATGAAAAGTATTCTTTCAATCTGAACATGTACAATATATGCTTAATAAATTACTGATGATGAACTAAAGAAATTGTATTTTGTCGCATTCCTTTTTATACTAACTATTTCATATAAAAAAAAGTGACTGAGGGGGCGAGCAGCAGTAATGCATAGTAAAACTGAGTCATAAGCGTTAAAACAATTTCCAGTTTTCCCGTAATCGTTTCCGTATTTAATGACTCAGGAAAGGGCTACAAAGTTTAAGGTATTACATAAAAGTTGAACAAAATATTATAGATAAATGATTTAGTTTCTACCATACTTTTTTTAGACATCTTTTCGAGTAACTTTTATTCTTTTTCACTATCTTTGGACAAATGCAAATCTTCTTAAGACTAGTTAAAAATTTCAACTTTTAGTAATTTTAAGGTCACAATAATGATTCACCATACATATCTTGCTTCTATTTTTGGTAAAACCAACTAGTATACATTCACCGAAATATATTACTTTGCAGGTCATTATTAGTACAAGTAGATTTTGGCTGTCAAAATTTAAAGAAATATTATAAATTTTTATAAATTTTTGAATGAACTTTAAACATTGTGACAAGGGTCACCTATAGGTACTTATGTCCTAATAATTAGTGCGGATGTAGTACTCAAAATTAAAGTCAATGCAATGGTTCAGTCTAGGCACAAAAAATTTTGCCTTATATAAATCTGTGTGTTTTTCATGAAATAACCGATGACCTTCAGTTCTGACATCCCAAAATATGAAGAAAAAATTTTTTGGGAGAAAATAATATGCCTAACAGTTTTACATTATGAGCATGTCCTGTAAATGTCAACAAATTATTCCCGGATTTTAAAATTAAATAATGGCCGAAAGAGTTTAGACCAGTAAGGTACACAAATATTTACATAAACTTGCATTGCCGAATTGTAACTGACAAAATCCAAAATTTGAACAAAATAAGTTGAATGCATCTTGGGAAATTGAAATTTAAAAATATATATTTTTTAAATGTTCATTATTTCCAAACAATTCGTATGATTTGGATTATTATTTTTTATTTAAAATTGCGTCGCTTAAAATAATATGCAATTTGTCTAACCATGCAAAATACTTTCGACTTTTATAACACAATGACAAAATTCAATTGAATAAAAAAGTTTAGAAGCTAAATTTTACATAAAAAGTGTCTTACGATATATTTGTTTTATAAATGTGTGCTTAAAAGAGTCAAGAGATATGATGTAAAACGGAAAATAGTAAGTTAACATTATTGGGCACGAACGTTCGCCTTACGTAATTCTGCCTAAAATATTGGGACCATATTTACAGTGTGCGAGCTAGGACCACATATATCTTGAAGGTCACAAATCCTTGTTTCTCTGAATAAATCACCAGGATACATGTTTGCTTAAAGAATAAAGGGTTTCCATATTTTTCTGACTGCGGCTACTCACAGTATTTTGAGAATCAAAAATTTAATAGCATCAAAATAAAAGGTGTGCCTATTCCGTTTTAAGGTTAAAAGTCTGTTTTATGATTGATTTCGTAACTTTTAATACATCTCATTTGTACTAATTAGTAAGCCTCTCGCATTAATCCTATCTTAGTGAGTGAAAATTCGATTATTCGATCAAAAGTAATAGTCTTTTCTTAATATTGCTACAATACTGATTTATTGTTGTTGAGCCTTAGGAAAAAATAATTTTTTACTCGCTCAGGACGAAAAAGTAACAGTAAAATGATATAAGGGCTTAACAATATACATATTTATATTAAATAAAGTGAAACAAAATAATAACTTTAGTAAAGTTGAAAGAAATGAAAACGCAGTCTATATACAGGTGGTTATCAAAATAATGGAAACACCCTAGATTTTGAAGTCTTGGGAATTGCTGTTCTGCCGTAAATGTTCTCTTTATGAAGGTATCTCCTAACCGTAATTGTTGACACTGGAGAATCCAGATGCTGATTGAACTGTGTGGTCAATTTGGCCTGCAATTGTTTTCTTTTTAGACATTACAATCCGCTTCAATACCCGTCGGTCTCTTTCACTCAGCTTCTCCTTCCGTCCACTATTTTGCTTTGTTGAGCTTGTCTTTCCGCGCTGTGCGTATGCTGTCATGACTTTAGGCACCGTACCTCTAGAAACGCCTAAAAGCTGGGATGTTTCGGTTACTGTTGCTCCAACTAGTCGGGCTCCTACAATTTGGCCTCTCTGAAAATCTGTGAGGTCTGACATTTTACGCTTCTGAGAAAAAATCAAAACGTAGACTACTCTTACTTTACTTTATTTACAAAAATTGGGCATCTGGGCGACTTTGCGGCCCCTATCCCATACATCTAGAAATGTACAGAAAATTTATAGTAATAACATTTTGAATTTAGCAGTCGATGTGGTAGCTAATAGAAAAACAAGCACTTTACTTTAGTAAATATAACATTTGAATATCTGATTCATCGAATCTAAGTTGACATATATAAATATAAACATAATTTGACATATATATACATAAGTTGACATAAATAAATATTAACAAAAATTGATACATATTTCACTAATTAAATTTCTATATTTAAACTAGCACATATTTAATTATGACATACATTGAAGTTCATTCGAATACATTGAGGTAGCCATAAAAAAATCAAGCTGTTTGCTTGTGAAATAATAAAACAATGAAAAAATTTAATATGACAATTGACGTTTTTACCTTATACTAGAAATATTGATTGTAGACTTGAATTAAAAATAAAGAAAAAACATGATTTGATCTGTACAGTAATTGATTTTTGAAAAATGAAAGGCATAATTGATGAATATAGATAAATCATACCTTGATACATGATAAAATAGCATATTTGGAGAAAATGCAGTAAATATATTTTATCAGAGAAGTTTTGCTCATTAAATACAAGAATTTAACATGCATAAGTTGATATATATGCATGCATAAATTGGCTATATTATCAGAAAAAAATTCTTAATGTAATTTAATTTAACTTAAGTAAAAGTCTGCTGTGAAAAGTTCAGTGAATTTAACTTGAGTGTCTTGAAAATAAAAATAGAACTCACTGGGATTGAGATGTCTCCCCGATGATTCTCCGCAGAAGGCGGAGCACTTCTTCATTTTTGAGCAATTCCTGTAATTCTTTGATTAGTGACACTAATCGGTGAGCGAGTTTAGGCGTCGAATTTGATGTTTTTCGAGGGCTCCTAATGCTGGGACAGGTCTCGCACCCAGCATAGTTGGCTGTGTGGCTTTTCTAACAATCACAGCATTTTGGAGGTGTAGTTCTGTCTTTGTTGCATTCATGTGACCTGTGGTTTTCAGCACATTTTACACACCTTGCAGGTGCATTGCAGTGGCTTTGTGTATGTCCATAATTTTGGCAGTTGTAACATTGTATAGGTCCTCGACCTCCTCGAAATCGTTCGATTTTGATCGGGATCTGCTTTATGTTGTTGACTTCGAATATTCTTTTGTGATTCGCCGTTGATGTTTGGATTATGAGAAAAAGTGGAAGGAGCCGACAGGTCTCTCCCATTCTCTTCTTAAACTGCACTATTTTAAAGGTTTCAATATTGTTTTTCTGTAATTCTGCATTGATGGCATCTGTATCAAAGTCCACAGGCAGACCCCGGACCAAAACCTTAATAAATCTGGCTTGCAGTGTTATTTCAGGTTTGCTGGGCGGATCCCGTACTTCGTCGGTGTCCTCCTTAGGTTTTGTTGACGGCAAGATAGTGACGTCATTTGTTGAGTTATGTTGGCTAGAAGAAGGACAGCTGTTTGTAGACATGAGTGTAGAATTATCTTCAATTTTTTTGATTGCATTTTGCTTTCTCTTCTTCTTTTTTCTTTTCTTTGCAGGTGGTTCTGTACTATTGTTAATATTGATGTCCGTGTCAGTTTCTGTATTCGATGATGTATTCAGGTTTTCATCTTTATTTTCCATGGTTATGTCTTCAGTGCTTGGATTAATTTCAGTCATCATTGATTCGACTTGAATGGATTTTTTATTCATCTCCTTGTTTTCTTCCGCTTGAAAGTTTTTCCTCTTCCATCTGACGTGATAAGCTGCATTTGTCAGTTTTAGGAAGTATGAGTATTCATAGTCTCCAGGGTAACTTGATCTTATTTGAATGAGCAGTTTGCTAAGTAATTTATCTAAACCAATCAGCTCCTCTGTATCAAACTGAGTGTAAAACTCTACAATATCGTCAATATGTTCATGTTCAACTGGTGGAATATATCTTTTTGAAATCCCACAGGTAGCAATGATTTCTTCTAATGACGTGGATTCTTTGTAATGCGACGGTGAATTATGACCGGAGATCGAGACCTTTCCACCACGAGCTGTTTTATGATACGGCATGACTTGAAAAAACAAAATGGCGGGCTCAAAATCCAGACATCAAAATGGTCAGTTGTTAGTATTGTCTCACACGACTCAGGAACCTGACGAGATCAAAACTTGCATCACTCTCCTTGCAACGTTCAGGATAATCAGCATCTTATTCAGCATGACCGGCATCGCAAGGGAGAAGAAGACATCAGTAGAGCATGACCAGCATCAGTTATCAGCATCCTAGACCAGCATGACATCAGCGTCGAAGATGATCATAACCTGACATCTCGGAATCAATTCTTCAACTCCGAAATGTGTCTTCATGTAGACTACTCTGCTAAAGCTCTCTCATATATGTACTTTTTATATTAAAAAAAACTGGTAGCTAAGATTATATTTTAATGCTTATGAAGCGAATTCTTAAATGTCCCTTTTATTCACAAGTGTTTCCATTATTTTGATAATCACCTGTATATAAATCTCTGACGTAACCTCGAAAAAAAGGGTTAATTTGTTTTAGGTATATTTGTTAAGGGGTAAATTACCTATAGGCCAGATGTAAATGGCAAACATGGGCATGATATTATTTGCCGTTGGCAACTTGTAACTCTCTGAAGTGAAGTGTGATTCCATGTGATTTAAATCAGATTTAATTGGATACCAGGAAGTGACATCACACGTCTGCGTCACACCTAATTGGCTTCTTAATCGACAAATTCCAGG